GGGACGTTTCTGGTTATTTTGCGCCCCCTTCAAGGTGCGTCGTCACCGCGGCTCGTTAACGCTCCGGACGTTGCGAAAAGGCGTCACTCGGAGCGGGCACAAACGCCCGGGAACGCCGCCTGTAAACGCAAAGTTTGGGCAGCTGGTTGGTTCTTACTCATTTTTTTTGGTTTATTTATTTATTTTTGCTTTTAACTCCCCATAAATACGGCAACGGGCGTGGTTGCTTTTAAAATTGCGTTTGAGCTCTGCCACCCCGTCAGATTTTGCCAGACTCTGTTTGAGATCTTGGGGCAGGGAGACAATTTGTGAAACTTCTGAGCAGAGTTCAGGTCGTCCCAACTGCTCCCTCGCTACCAGGATTCCGGTGGCGTTGAACACAGCGGGTGACAGCCTGGTTTAAACAGGGATTTTCTTCGAGTTCAGTGTATTTCTGCATTGAATTCCTGCCCCATCAACCTCTCTCTACAGGACTCCTGTCTTGGCCCAGCCGAGCTTAGTTCCCCACAGCCTTAAGACTAACCCTGGGTGGGAGGAAAACACCCGACACCAGAATCGCTCACCCTTGCGCTTGTGGTGTGTGTAGACACAAGCCGTGACTAAAGTGACCGTCATAAGCCTGGTTTTAGCCTGCGCCGTTCCTGTGGGAGGTTTTTGACCCAGAAAAAAAAAAAAAAAAGGGAGAAAGAAAAGAAGTTATTTCTAATGAGCAAGTCTTTCTTGTGGCAAAAATAAAGGAATTCCCAGAGCCTGCAAACTGTCGACTCCCGCTTTCCTTACCCACGCGGAGGGTATTGGGAATTGCTTTACATTGTAGTTTTACCCCAGAGCAGAGGAGCCGCAGGTGCCGCTGGCATTTTGCTTCTCTGGGATACCTGGATGCGCCGCCGTACATGTCACCTGCGTTCCCACCTTGACACATCCGCACAGAATTTGGGTTCAGGCACCAGCTCAGGCATTAAATCCACTTGCTGCTGGTTTCGGAGGTGGTTGGGGATGAGGAAAGTCTCGTTGCTGCGCGGCCGTTCGGCTTAACCGGGTGGTCGGAGGGTTGCAGAGCTCTGCTGCCTGCATCCGCCTGCCCAGCGCATCCCGTTGGAGGGTTTGTTTTATCCTCCGCGTAATATTCAATGTGAGGATTGTTACGATCCGCTGACTGCTGTAGTAGTGTGGAACTTGATGGATTCAGTGTTGCCGTGTTTTCCTGCAGAGGCTGTTCCCTTCTCACTGAGCCCGGGCATTTCCGTTGTCAAATACCTTACACTTGAGTCACAGGTGTTGCCCCTTCTCGAGCCTGGTTTATTTCTGCTGTCCTTCATAGCTGGGATCCTAACTTGCCCACATTACAGCACACATCCCCACCACCAGAGAGAGCTGGTTTGGCAGCAGCACGAAGCACGGGAAGCCCCACGGATGGGATTTAATCCCCATGAGTTTCACCCCAGGTCTCTGTTACCCCGTTACCCCAGCCCTGTCTGCAGGTGCCACGTGGCCGGCGCGGCTGCACAAGCCCTGGGCGCCCTTATCAGCGAGCCGCGCTCTTGCTGATAACGCCTTGTTTTCGTTTTTAAGGGTGTTTGTGCCGTGCTCGTAGCAGTATTTTGCCTGGGAAGCACCGCGCTCCCAGGGCGGGAGGAGATCCGGGGTCATCACACCTTGGACTCCAAAGGGACAACGGATCCGTTAGCGTGTTACTGTCGAGCTCCCTCCTCCCCATGGTCAGTACAAGTTTGTTGACTTTTACAGGCAGAAATCTCATGCTGGAGTGAGTGGTGTTGTGACTACTGCTCCTTTTCCCCTTGTTTCCCCCCCTTTTAGAAGGGCTAGAAAAAAACATGCATTTCATGCAGTAGACTGGAATTATTTTCATTAAGATTCTCTGTATCTTAATTATCCTTTTCTACAAAGCAGAGCAGACTTGTGATTGAGTTTGCCCAGTGCAGGAGTATTTAGTTCCCGCACCGGTTTTAAATAAGCCACCAAGTGACTCCCAAGGGGTGTCGTCATGTGGACACTGGTAGACCCTCTGGGGAAAAAAAACATTGATTTGCACACTCAGGTGAGACTTGATTTAACTAAAACACTCAGAACAA